TACACGGGCAGAGGTCTGCAGAGCACACGCTGAAGGAGGCCTGACACCCAGACGCTTGCAGACAACTATCTGCTATTCAATCTATTACAGTGAAAAAATTTTTTTTTCTTTTTAAATGTCAAGCTTAAGCTATTGTGACACCAGATATGAGTCGTGGCACTGGGCAAATGGGCACATTATCCACTGTGAGCCTGACACACCAGCTTTAAGGACACTGACTGCTATTCAATCTATAACAGTGAAAAAAGTTTTTTGTTTTTAAATGCAAGCTATTGTGACACCAGTGAGTGAGTGGTGGCACTGGGCATAGTATCCACTGTGAGCCTGACACACCCGCTTTAAGGACACTGACTGCTATTCAATCTATAACAGTGAAAAAAGTTTTTTGTTTTTAAATGCAAGCAATTGTGACACCAGATATGAGTGGTGGCACTGACTGGGCAAATGGGCACAGTATCCACTGTGAGCCTGACACAGAAGCTGGCAGCAGTGGCAGACAACTAACTGCTATTCAATCTATAACAGTGAAAAAAGTTTTTTGTTTTTAAATCCAAGCTATTGTGTCACCAGATCTAAGTGGTGGCACTGGTCACCGTATCCACTGTTAGCGTAACACACCCGCTTTAAGGACACTGACGGCTATTCAATCTATAACAGTGAAAAAAGTTTTTTGTTTTTAAATCCAAGCTATTGTGACACCAGATATAAGTGGTGGCACTGGTCACCGTATCCACTGTTAGCGTAACACACCCGCTTTAAGGACACTGACTGCTATTCAATCTATAACAGTGAAAAAAGTGTTTTTTGTTTTTAAATACAAGCTATTGTGACACCAGATGTAATTGGTGGCACTGACTGGGTAAATGGGCACAGTATGCACTGTGAGCCTGACACAGAAGCTGGCAGCAGTGGCAGACAACTGACTGCTATTCAATCTATAACAGTGAAAAAAGTTTTTTGTTTTTAAATGCAAGCTATTGTGACATCAGATATGAGTGGTGGCACTGACTGGGCAAATGGGCACAGTATCCACTATGAGCCTGACACAGAAGCTGGCAGCAGTGGCAGACAACTAACTGCTATTCAATCTATAACAGTGAAAAACGTTTTTTGTTTTTAAATGCAAGCTATTGTGACACCAGATATGAGTGGTGGCACTGACTGGGCAAATGGGCACAGTATCCACTGTGAGCCTAACACAGAAGCTGGCAGCAGTGGCAGACAACTAACTGCAATTACATTACACAAAAAAAAAAAAAAAAGCAGACTGATGTTCTAGCCCTAAAAAGGCCTTTTTGGGGTGCTGTCCTTACAGCAGAGATCAGATGAGTCCTTCAGGACTGTAGTGGACACTGTATTCCCTAACCTAGCTATGCATTTCCCTTTCTAATCAACAGCAGCTACACTTTCCCTCCTCTCACTAAGCATGCAGCTTGAGAATGAATCTAAAATGGATGCTGTCCAGTAGGTGGGAGGGTCTGCTAGGGAGGGTGTGCTGCTAATTGGCTGGAATGTGTCTGCTGACTGTGAGGTACA